CTTTTCACACAGTTCTGGGAGGTTCCTGAGGACTTTGCTATAGGAAGGGAAAGACCTAACCAAAAGGTACTGGAAGGCCCCAGGGTCCACCACCTCAGTCAGATTTCTGGATGCCAATCAAAGACAAAAGACAGAGTAGGGAAGGCTAATCCCAAAGGAAAGCAATCTCAAGTCTAAACGATGAATTCCAGAGCCTTTCTCAGAACAAGAGGAAAGATGACAGAGTTCTCACTCTTTGTGATGTAAGAACCCCATTTTTTTCTAGAAAGCATCATAGTATAAAGAAAGATGAGGCATCAAAATCCAGGATTTCTGGACCCACTCTGCCAAGGGCTCCCTGTGACTTTGGGCAAGTCATTCCACCTCTCGGGGCTTCAGGGATTCACATGGAGATGAGTTCATCAACAAGGCCCTTCCCTCCTCCGGGTGCCTAGGATCTGAGGATGCTTCTGTTTTCACACTGCTCTGAACCACAGCTCTGGCCTGGGTCATTCAGAAATAAGAGGCAGATGCCAATAGTTAGCATGGTGATAATTCAGGGAGAAGGCCACCATCCTGGCATTAAATTGCATGTGTGATGAGGCAGAGGGGCAGAAGAGCAGAACCTGAAAGTGAGTAGCTGAGCTCAGTTGACCAGTGAGGCAGTAGCAAGGCCCAGAGGTAAACGATCCCCCCAAAAGAACATCAGAAGAAGCTGCCACATTATTGGGTAAGCTATGCAGAAATGCCATCACATTTGGAAAATTCCCAAAAATTTCAATTTGCCCGTCTGTTTGTACCTCCTGTTCTCTATCTGGGCTTTGGATTCTCTCTTCATTCTAACTACCACCTCCTGCTTCCTCCTTCAACATCTGAACTGCAAACAACAGAACCTTAAAACAGGGGCAGTGGACCCCAAAACTGAGGTGAAATTAGAGGACAGTATCAGGAACTCCAGAAGTGAGTTTGGGAATGAAAAGATAAAAAGCAAGCATATATTAAAACATCTATACAAACCTGTAAGACAGAAACTACCAAACCCAGCAGAGCCTAAGTGAGACCTTGACCACAGCCACAGCCTATCACTGACGATCGGCTGTCACTGCCCCTTACAGCCCAGCAGAGCTGGGGCAGAGCCTTGGAGAACAACTTGTCAGCTCCTCCTTGCTCAGCAGAGTAACCTGTTGGTTGGCTTCAGGGCCATTACCCATTAGCTGTCTAAGTTCTACAGAAGGACATACCTTTGGGCCCACCTGAGAGGTTCCAAACAGCCTGAAGTCCAGGGTAGCAAGAGACATAAGGCTCTTCTTCCTCTGTTGCTTCCTTCTGTATTTGCTCTAGGATAGGAGCCGGCATTAAGAGTCCCTTGCAACCAAGATATGTGAGATTGTCTAACTCCCAAGGCGAGTTCTCTAAAATCCTTATGATTTCTTCCCTCCTGTAGGGTCTGAATCATTCATTTTATTGCATTATAACTTAGATGTTTCTGCTACAGTATCTTTGTGTGTCCCAAACACAGGTGAGTGTTGAGCCTACGATAGGTGCTCAATAAACATATGCTGAACTTAAAATCTTACATTTATCTCTGCAACTAGAATATACTTTCGGTTGGCAAGGACCATGTGTTAAATTTTCTTTGTATGCACTTCAAGATACACAAACATGTAGGTGCTCAATACACAGTGGTGAATGAATGGCTGATTAGTTGGCCACATCTAAAAACCCTCCAGGCAGTATCTGAGAACCTTCCTGTACATAAACTCTAAGAAATACAAACAGGCATGTATGAGCTCTGATCTTTTCAGTTTCCCCATCCCTGGAAATAGAGGAGGGCGTGGTGTGGGGAGTACAACCAGGGAGGTTCCTCAGGGGTCTACACTTTTAATCAGATGATTGAGAATCTAGTAACTAAAGAACAAACCTTGAATTCTATAAGGACTCCATGAACATACCCATATGAATATTGGCATGTGTTGCATTAACATATACCATATACATTTATTCCATGCAGGTATGATGCTGACATATACCAGAAGTATCAAAGCTGATAACCACTCAACAACAGCAAATTGTCAGGTGAGTAGTAATAACAGCACTGCATACTTCTGTTCTTTAATGGCTATTCTCATTTGGACTAATAACAAATCAAAAGTGTTTTGACAAAAAATAAATACTAGTATAATTTACCTCCTTTCTTGGGTTCAGTACTTCAGGGTATCAAAACCTACTCTCAAAAAGAGAAAAGAAAAAAAAAAGTGGCCACTATTGAAATTAAATTTCATAGGCTAAAAAGAGAAATCACAGAGAGGAGGAAAGTAGCCCTTTCCTCACCAAAAGGCCTCAGGCAAGTCACCGCACTTTTTGAGCCTCAGTGTGCTCATCTGTAAAATAGGGTTATCTACCACCCCCCATCTCATAGGACCCTCTTAATTAATGTGATGATACAGGGTGAGGGGGCTGCCCTGTAAAGCCATACAGATTATTACTCTAGCAATCTATTAATCACTGATGACACTGTACCCCAGAATGTGTTACAAAATTACTGCCTCCAAGCATACATTATCCAGAACAGACACTTGACACAGCAGATGAGATGATCTGTGTGTAAACCGAATCCTGTTTCAAAAACTCGAAGGGAGTTTCCTCAGGCAACCCGAGTGCATCCTGTGAGGGACTGGTCATTTTCGAACGTCTGCTCGGTGCACTAACTTGGGTTTTCATGAAAGCCTGGCAATTTTTCTCGCGCGGTGAGAGCATGCTCGGAGCCAGGATTCCTGAGGTTTTCGGCCCAGACCCCGCGCTGGGCAGGAGGAACCGAGGTCGGCCAGCCTGCGGCCCCTCCCTGCTCTCTGGGCGGCTCCTTCCTCTCTCCGGCTCCAGCGGCAGCGCTTGTGCTGTGTCACTTTCACCCTCCGTAGCCTCCAGCCGCCGAGGAGCCCGCAGCCTGGCCTCTCTCCTGGGAGATAAGCCCCGGCCCGCAGAGACCCTGCGGGAGAAGCCGGCTAAAGCTTGTGGACGGCTGAGCACCGGGGAGCAACGGGGGCGAAAGCGCCGAGTTGGGGCTGGGCCCGGGCCGGGCAGGGCCGGCAGCCTTTGGTCCCCACTGCCTCCGGGACCAAGAATTGGGAGGAGGGACGCAGAGCCCGCTGGTTCTCTCCAGGGTCCACGAGGGCAGCGACAGCCGTGCGGGCATGCAAGCCACGGAGTGCCTTGGTGCAGGGGTCAACCCGAGCGTATCGAGTCGGGGATGGCGACACGCGCGCGCCCGCGGCTCCTCCCAGCCCAGCAGCACCAGTCCCCGCGTCACGGAGTAGGAGGCCAGTCTGGGGGATCAGGGGAGGTCAGGGACGCGGAGTGAGGAACAGCATGTCTCCAACCTCACCGCGGGACCGGGACTCCCTAACCGATCCGGCGCTTGATCGGCGCACAAGCAAGCCCCCTGGTCTCAGGGCGCACAGTCACACTACCCCTACCCTAAGTCACCTGGGAGCGGGCGCGGGCGCGGGCGCGGGGACACACAAACGCGTACGAGCCCAACTGGGACCACGAGCTAGCTGGTGGGTCCGATTCCCGCGGAGAGCCGGGGCCCACGCGTGTCCTCACTACGCCGCGGGCTGCGGACCCCGCCCCCCCACCTCCACTCCGGAGCGGTGTGTACACACACAAACAGCTGGGCGGGGGAGGCGACGCCTCACTCCCCGGGGTGAGGACGCACCGGGCTCCGCCAGCCATCCCTTGCCTTTACACGCCTCACTCCCCTCCCTGCTCACACCTGCCCCTCTACCCCAACCCGAAAACTCCACGAAACCAAACAGTCAACGCCGCCCAGATGAGAGGCTCAGACCTCCGATTGTCTTTTAACTGCAATAGAGAGACATACCTAACTCAGGCGCGCGGTCCCCGGGACGCCGCCTTCAGGGGCACCCAGGCTGGGGTACGCGGCCCGAGAAGGGCCCAGACCTCCGCCGCCTCAGACCGAGCCACCGCCCCCTGCCCGCTCTCCCCGACAACATATGTCCCGGACAGTCACCTGCTCGTTGTCCTGAAGAACCCGAGCCGGGGCCCACCCCGCCGTCGCTCGGGTCATTAGCCACCGCGAGCTGGCTTTTCAGAGCCTGTCAACTTAACCCCCGCTCGGCCTTGGATCTATTCCCCAGGCCCAATTACACCGTGGCAACAGGAATAAAAAAAAAAAATGCCAACAGAAACACCACCGTGGGGGATGTCCCAAGCTGCGACCGCAGTGTATCCACCGATTCGGTTTCCTCCTTTGCTCCCATCCCCCGCGCTCCCCTTGGCCCGCAGGCTCACCGGGGACGGAGGGAGGGTGCAGCCTGTCTAGACGACAGACATCCCCGCGCTCGCGGGGACGGGCGCGCACACTCACTCGCACGGCCGCTGCCACAGACACAATCAGTCACCAGAGGAGGGCGGGACGGCGTGGAGACACTCTCTCGGGGTCTCTAGGGCGGCCGCGAGTGCAGCAGCCTCACGCCCGGAACCGTGCGTCCTACCTCAGCTGAGCACGGTCAGAACAGCTGCAAGTTTGGCTGGTACTAAACCAACTGCTTGATGCAGCAAATGCGAGCTTCAAAACAAAAGGGAGAGGAGGGATCGCGCTCGCTCTCTTCCGACCTCCGGGTCGGAACCCGGGACATGACAGCGGCTACACCTCGGGGCTCCAACTCGAGCCAGGCTCCAGCTGTGCGCCCCCCAAGAGCCCCCACCGCAACGGAGCTCCAAAGCTACGGCTCTCCCCCGGGAGAGGACCCTGCAGGGAAGCGGCAAACCTGGGGAAGGGCGAGATCGTAGAGTGAAGTCCTCTACAGAGGTGGGGGCCGGTGGATGGGCGCGGACGCCCGGCTGCCCCGGGCGCAGGGAGGGGGAAGGGGGTTAATTGTTTGGGTCGGTTTTCCCGGATTTGTCTGTAAGCACGCGCACGTCACGCAGCCCTCCCGGCGGTACCCGAATCGATCGGCAAGCTGAGATGACTAAAGGGAGCGGACGGGGGTGATGCTCACCTTGGGGTTCCTCTGGCCACGGCTCCGAGCCCGAGTCCGGGGGTGGGGGAAGGGGGCAGGGAAGGGGAAGGGAGAGAGGAGGCTCCAGCGAGCGGACTCCTGCCTAGAGTTCCGCGCGTCCGGGCTGCGGAGAGGATCCGGCGCCCCAGCGCACAAACCCAGCGGAGAGGGGAGGGAGGGAGGGAAGGGAAAGAGGGAAGGAGGGGCGGGGGGGGAGGGAGTAGAGGAAGGAAAAAAAAAATGATCCCTGCTCTGACACAAGGAAAGAGAATGTAGGAGAGTGACGTCCAGGCCCCGCCCGCCCCTCCGGCCACGTGCAAAGACTTGAAAGGAAAGAGAGCGTTGGGAGGACTGCTGGGAAATGTAGTTCGCCTTTCTTTCCCGGGATGGCGGGCCTTGGAGAGTGGGGAGCCGCCGCCGGGGCGCAGGGGATGCCGCCTGAGCAGCCGAGACAGCCCAGTCTAGCGACACCGGAACTCTTCGCCCGACGACTCCTCCCCTGCTACGCTAGCGAACCCCTGAGTGGGGACCACTGCGTTGAGAGAACTGGGGGATTAGGCCCTCTCGCGGTTTTCAGGGAAACGTTTGGTTTTAGGGGCAGGAAGGCTTTAAGGATGAGGACTTTTGTGGTTACAGTGCGAATGGCAGATAAAAGGAAGCTTTGTATATGCACTGGGCGGCCCAAGTGGCGTTATTAATTCTGCATTAAATGCTAACGTCTGTTATTGAGATGCGTATGTTATAATTAACATTTGAACATCTCTGTGGCAGAGGCGGGATGTTGTAATTAGATACGCACTTCGCAACCAATTAATTTTCCATTGGCCATGGTAAGGGCTGGGACCGCGGATGTGGTGGCTGAGAGAATTCAATGTAATGGATAATTCAGTAATCACTTAACCAAACCACCAATATTTATAAAGTACCTACTAGGTGCCAGGTACTGAGCATGGCACAGAGAAGCCACCAGGAGAAGTACATGATGGTGTACACCCCACCAAGCAAGGGGGTTATAAACTCACCATATATACTGTGTGACACAGTATAACTGCCACATAAATCCTTTTATTAATTCATATAACATTTGGTGAGCACTTTCTACACATGGGACATGTCTGGGAATGCCAAGACAAGGAAGACCCTCCATCCTTGCCCACAAAGACCTCAAAGTCTTGTGTAAGAAACAGAATCAATGAAAATATAGGAGATAAGCCATCACTGAACATAGAGATAAGCATAAAATGCTATGGAACTCTCAGGAGGAGCAGACAATCAGAACAAAGGGTGGATGGGGCTGGATGAGGGTCAGAGAAGGCTTCCTGGAGAAGGTGGTACTTGAGCTCAGAATTACTAAGATTTTTAACAAAGGCAAAGGAAGGGGTAGGCATCTGGCTAAGGCTATAGGTTACAAAGGTTCCAGATTAGAGAGAAGAGAGCAAATGCTGAAAGCCTCAGCAGTCTGGCAGGGCACGAGGGGGCAGGTTGATGTGGTGCCAGGGATGCAGGGTGGGTCTACAGGGCAGGAGGAGTCCCAGACAGCTTCTCATTAGAGGTAGGGCTTGAAGTGCTTCTTGAAAGGAGGTGTGATGTTACTTTTTTAGAGGAGGATATGCCTTCCAGACTCCAGGCTCAGCATGATCCAAGCCATGGAAGGTGAGCCAAGCAGCACCCACCATCACGTCCTATAGAGCAGCTCATTTGATTCTTGCACCAAAGGGATGGGGTCATGTTATCCCCTCCCTTCTAGAGGGAGGCAGCAGGCCCACAGTCATGAATTGGTAAGAGGCAGAGTGTGTACCAGAAGCCAGTCGTCTGGGTGCCAGGCCCAGACTACCTGCCTAAGGAATGGGAGTAAGCTCACCTGACTCTTCCTGCCTGTTTGTCCCTCTTGGCATTTATGCCTCATTGGCTCAAGCAGTGTGTTTTTTGCTTTAACATCTGGATGATTTCCTGGGTTTACAAAATATGAAATAAGAGTACTGGAGTCTCTCTACTCAGCAAATTCCCATTTACCTACCTTTTGTTGTCCATGCCGCTTTGCACAGTGTGTAATATGCATGCCACCTGCAAAGAAACAAGAATGGAATTGTCTGAGTCTTGCCTTTGCTTTAAATCACACCCCCAGAGGTGAGAACAGGATGAATCCCTAGAAGTGAGAAGCTGAGCAATGTGCAGAACATCAAACATCCATGAGAGTACACACTTCTGTTTGGGGTGTGTGCCTGTGGTGAGGAGGCCAGCACAGACTCAGCCTGGCCCATGGGTTTGAGTCTCACATGTGACACTTCCTGGATCTGTGACCTTGGGCAACTTACTTAACCTCCAAACAGGCGACCTTGGGCAGTTTATTCAACAACCTTTCTTGGCTTTGTGAGAACCATTGGCGATAATGTATTTAAAAAATCCCAAAGCAAGTGCTCAAGTGACGGGTTGACACTTTGCCTCATCCTAGGGTCTTTCTGGGCCAGGAGAATGCTTCTTGAATTTTCCTTCCTGCAGTCAGGCCAGCAGAGGTGGTGTTGTAGGGAGGATTCCTGGGGGTGACTCACCATTTTGTGTAAAATAGATCAGGGTTATCTTCAAGGAAGCTTTACCCAGGCCTAGTTCTCACCTCCTGCTGGCACAGCGCTCCTAACCCCTCACCAGCTGTCAGAGGTTTTGCTCTTCCACTCCTCACCCTGCTGCCCGAAGCTCCCCAGACTGTGTCACCCAACCTGAGGCACCTTCTCCAGGCAGTATTTTTGGCTCCCACACTGTTTCTTCCTGCCTATCAAAACTTACCTCCTACTCCCCAGGTCCTCAGAGCCTGGCTCTCTGCTTTTCCTCCAGTCCAACCAAACCACACTCACTGATGATAATGATGCCAGAGTTCTTGTTGACTACACCCACAATCCCTGTCTCAGTAAGATTGTCTTTTCACTCTCTGCTCCAACTCCAGTTTGTCTTCTTTTTGAGGGCTTTCTGAAATGGCCTCTGATGATGGGGATTCCAGGCTTGGAATGGGGTCTTTAGGAGGAAGGCTGTGTGAGTCCTCAGCCCATGGCCTTCCAGTGTGGGAGGCTTCGTCCTCATCTGCTGTGTAGCTGGTCTTCTACCCAAACATCAGGCTTAGGTAAGAGAAACTGCTGGGTGCAGAATTAATAAAGTGACTCAAATTGGTTTAATTGTGGCAGATTTGAGTTGCCAAGGGTTGGTTGCCTTGGCCTGACTTACCGCCACATAGCCTAGAAATTAAAAGGCAGAATGCTTTTCTCTGTTTTAAGTGATTGCTTTTCCTTATCCGCACCTGCCTAAGATACTAACAAAAAGAAATATTTCTCCTTTCTTCCCATTTCTCCCAGCCTTTCTTCTATCAGTCAACACTTTTACTGAACACCTGGCAAGAGCCCCCTAGAGGGCTGGGAGAGAAGGCATAGGAGACCAGACTGGCCCCCGTGGGGTCATAGGAGAGCTGATGAAGTGCTGCACTGTGTGAGGGTGGTTTTAAAGGAGCAAAGGATTCCTAGTGGGCTGGAATGGTCAGAGAAGGCTTCTGGGAGGAAAGTGGCACTGAATCCACTTATAACTTCCCATTGGGAGGAGGTCAGCAGTGGCCTAAATCCCTGTTTTGTAGCATTGGCTTAGGAGGCATTGCAGAAATAGTGTTTTTAGTTGGAAGCTGGAGAGTGGGTTTGTCATGTGTCAGTTTGTTGGCCACTGACCCCTCAGGAAGAAAGCTACGGGTCCAGTGTCTATGCTCTGTAACTGTGGTGTTGGCTTGGAGCGATAATGACTTGATAGAACCAGGTTGAATTTCACCCATGCTCATCTGAGTTTCCACTATACTACCCCAAAGACCAAGGTCTGAAAGGCAGATGGAAAATGATCCTTTAGGGTTGAAGTTGCTGCTGGAAGAAGAGACATCAATAGGCAATGATGAACTTGAGAAAAACAAAAGCAAAATAAGAAATAAATCAAGGGATATTTACTGGGAGCATGCTGTACACAAGGCATTACGGCACCATGGGGAACTAAACATATGAAACTAGGTCCTGGTCCCAACCTGACCCTACCCTACATGTGACATTTTCTCTCTCTGGGCCTCAGTTTCCATAGCTGTAAAATGGGAGGGTTGAACTTTACAATCTCAAGGACTATGTCCAAACCTTAAATTCTCCCTTCAAGAAGTTTACAATCCAGCTGGCAAAGGAAGCCATAAAGTTAAGTAGCCAAGAGGATGAATTTTAAGTGTTAATTTCCCAGGAGCAGAAGGTGTTTGTAGTATTTATTAAATAAAACCCTAAAGCTCACAAAGGAAATAAGGAAAACAGATATTTTCTTGTAAGATTCAAGTAAGTGAAGCCCATGCATTCCTCAAGTTCCTCAGAGTTCAACGTCAGACCTCGCAGGTCAGTGGCATGAGTGCTTAATCCACAGATGTCCTCATCCATGATGAGGATCTGGGTAAAAATACACAACGCACATCTCGGCAAGAGACAACTTTCATTGTTTGCCAGGCCACACTCTAGAAAAACTGTGTCACCACCTTCACCAGAAGAGGGACTGCCAGGCTTATTGGACCAGGTGCATATACCTGATCCAAAGAACTTCAGGCCATTGGCTAGACCTGGCTAAAGTGGTTCTGGCTCGCAGAGGTGAACGGAACCAATCAGATTTTCTCCTGCAAGAATCTGCAGGAAGTAGCTGAGGAACCTCTGCTCCGTTGGTGACTGCTCCTTATCAGGTTGGAGGGGGCAGCGCTTGTGGCCTTGGTGGGCCTGGTACAAGATGAGTAAAGAGAGGAGGAGGTGAAGTGGGGAAGAGGGAGAGAGGACCCTGAGCTCCTACCTTTCTGATTCGCGTCTCAGGGTGCTATACGATACCTCTCGTGGATTCCAGGTATCTTTATAGCCTTATAAAGATTCCCTTTAATATGTGCTTTGTCGAGTGGGTTTCTGATCTTTGTAATCCAAAAACCACATTTAGAATAGCCTGAAAGAGAGGAAGTGCAGAGGGGATTTTGGTAATTATGCTCCCAGTAGCTGGGAATCTCCCCTCCTGAAGATGCACTTTCCTGTTTTATTCTAGATGTCTACCTCTTCAGCTAGCTTATGATTCCTGTCTCCTCAGTCTTACTCTGAAAGGTCGGCAAAATAATTTGGCCATGAACCTTCTACAGTCTCTAAACCCCCTTTTCAAAGAACAATAG